CACACGAGCATATAAAGGGTGGAAAAAATGTGCAAAAAAATTCAAAATTTTTTGGAAGGGTCAAAATTATTTTGCAATTTAAAATAAAAGGAGCCACAAGCTAAAACATCCACAGAAAGCAGTGTAATAACACAATTTAAACAAAACAGCCCAAATATATACATAAAAGCACAAGTCACAAATAGCACACAAAAGGTGAGCCTCACCCCAGCACAATTAAAAAGCAATTGTCCTCAAATGCAAATAACATAATATCCAGAATTAAAATAAAGAAAGACAGAGAGGTAGGTAATGAGGGGATCCTGTCTACACAGTTGCTCCATCTGTCTGGGCATCAGTGCCTAGAGTGTTGTCATTATGACTCTGGTTTTCATTATCTGCGTTTGCCTCAGTTGCTGCGATATTAGCCTTAGCAATATTATCCAAATCGTGAGCTACTCCAAAGGGATGTACCACGTTAATGAAACCTCGAGCCCACACAGGCACATTAAGGTCAATGGGAATCCTTCTACTGGAACTGGCTTTCTTGTTCTCGCTCCTTGCTTTGGGGTGATCTGTCGTCCCAGCATCTCTTCTGGAGTTTTGTGACCCTATATGTCGGGGTGGCATATTCCTTCCTGCAACTTTTGGTCTGGCCACATCTGTAAAGCCTTGATATAAAGTTAGAAAAGCAGGCAAACTCAGCAGTCCATTTGGCGAATCGCCGAATACTATGGGTGAACAAAGGGATCCCCGCCGAAAGTTACAGTGTAAAAGTGGGTCAGGGGTGCAGACGAAAGGCGAATAAGAAGACTTTCAGAGAGTCGCCAGGTGCTTTTGCCGACCTTATGCTTCTCGCCAAAAGAAACTGAAACCTCAACATATAAAGCACGATACCAAAGGCGAGGTAGGGAAACTAGGTGAACCGCTAAGTGGTTCGGCGAGCTCGTCTCAGCTCGCCAAAATGACTCGTCGCGCCTATTATCAACCAAACTTCTAGAAAATATCCCTGCAACCGCCGAAAATGCAATTCAAGTTCCTACAACACAAATCTGACTAAGACCCGTAAAATAAGATCACTCCCTATTGCCAATTTATTTTACTTAACACACTAGAAAGCGGGATTTCACCATTCAAACAACTGTTATCGATTAGGAATCGACAATTAAGCAATCCGATCCAATCATAGAGGCCCAACAGAATTCAACAAGATTAACAGATTGCAAATGAGTACAATTTAGACAAAATGATCGCGGGGTTTGAAGTACCAACCTTTTATGCCGATCAAATGGATGTTGAGATGCTAGGAAGCAATGTAATTCAACTCGTAGCACAATTTGATACTAAAAATACTCCAAAAATGCAAGAAATGTAACACTAGAGTGCAGGTGTGAGTTTGGGAAGATGAAAAACTGAGGGAAAGGGAATGAATTTGAAACTTTTTAAACCTTTGGCTTGAAAAACCGTCCAGTTTTCGCCTATTTGGCGACATTAGTCCCGATCACCGAACTATTCGGCGTTGTACCGATCAATCACCTTTCTCGGTGAGTTTTACAGAATCCCCCAGTTAATGTGAGAATCCAAACTCTGATGTCCGTCGGGATCGCCAACATCATTAGCTATTCACCAATAATTCCTTGCATTCACCGAGTTTTACAGACTCCAATGTAAATTTGTCTTGAATCTAACTGCGGTCTGTTTTGCGGTCGCCGAACCCTTTGGCGATTCGCGGAATGGACCTGTAGCTCACCATTCTGCATTTGTTGATCAGTCTCCACACTGTCACTTGCAAAATCAACACACCTTTATTTAAAACAGTAAAACTTGGGTTGCCTCCCAAGAAGCGCCTTATTTAACGTCGTGGCTCGACGTTCAAGCATTTTCTAGGTACACCACTTCCATCAAAGAGATCTCCTGACATTCACCAAAGTATAATTTCAAATGCTGCCCGTTCAACTTAAATGCATGTCCTTCTTGCCCTTCAACTTCTATAGCGCTGTTTGGGAACATGCGCGTCACTCTAAATGGTCCTGACCATTTCCATTTGAGATTCCAAGAAACAACTTCAGTCGTAAATTGTATAGAAACAACCAATCTCCCACCTTAAACTCTCTCTTGAGTATTTTAGCATCGTGCCATTTCTTCATCTTTTCCTTGTAAAGAGCTGAACTTTCGTAAGCTTTAACCCTAAATTCGTCCAACTCGATTAATTGCTCTATTCTTTCTTTTGAAGTTTTTCCCCAGTCCAAATTCAGAGCTTTCAATTCCCACATTGCTTTATACTCTAGCTCCACTGGTAAGCGGCAAGACTTTCCAAAAACTAATTGATACGACGACATACTGATTGGAATTTTATAAGCGGTGCGATATGCTTATAGTGCGTCATCCAACTTTGAGACCAATCGGTTCAATTTACATTCATTGTCTTAGCCAAAATTCCTTTGATCTTCCGGTTTTACACTTCGACTTGGCCACTTTTTTGGGGATGGTACGGTGTTGCCACTTTGTGCTTAACCCCATAGTTACTCAATGCAGTTGAGAACCATTTATTACAAAAATGTGATCCCTATCACTAATAATAGCTCGCGGAGTCCCAAATCTTGCAAAAATGTAGCGCTTCAAGAATTGAACAACACTTCTTCCCTCGTTATTTGAAAGAGCAACAACTTCTTCCCATTTAGACACATAATCCACTGCCACCAAGATGTATTTTTTGCCAAATGAGCTCACAAATGGGACCATAAAATCAATTCCCCAAACATCAAACAACTCCACTTCTAGAATGGGTGTTAGAGGCAACTTGTGCCTTTTGGACACACCACCTTGCTTTTGGCATTGTGGACACCTCTTAACAAACTCATGCGCATAGTTGTATAGAGACGGCCAGTAATACCCGCTTTGTAGCACCATAGTTGCTGTCCGGACACCACCATGATGCCCTCTAACCGGCGAAGCATGACAAGCATGCATGATCTCCCTAGATTCCTCTTCTGGGACACATCTTCTGATGATGTGGTCAGCACACTCTCTAAAAAAATATGGCTCGTCCCACAAATATTTCTTAACATCGAATAAGAACTTCCTTTGTTGGTAAAAGTTCAGTTCATTTGGTATTAATCCGCACACCAAATAGTTTGCAAAATCAGCATACCAAGGGGACTGTGTGCGGTTTACTGTGAATACCTGCTCATCGGGAAAAGCATCCTCTATGTCGATCTCCGGCTCGTCTTTATCCCTGCCTCCCAATCTCGATAAGTGATCAACCACTTGATTTTCACAACCCCTTTTGTCCTTAACCTCAAAATTGAATTCTTGCAGTAAAAGCACCCACCTGATCAACCTAGGCTTGGAGTCTTTCTTCGCCATTAGATAACACAAAGCGGCGTGATCAGTGTGAATAATCACCTTAGTACCTAGCAAGTATGCACGAAACTTCTCAAACGCATAGACCACTGCAAGTAATTCTTGCTTGGTAACTGTTTAGTTACGTTGAGTACTGTTTAAAGTTTTGCTTGCATAGTAAATGGGATGAAAAAGTTTATTTCATTTCTGACCCAACAGTACGCCCAATGTTATGCCGCTTGCATCACACATTACTTCAAATGGCTCTGACCAGTCAGGACTAATGATGACTGGGGTGGAAATTAGTTTGTCTTTCATGCATTGAAAGCTACCATACACGCATCATCAAAGTTGAAGGTTACCTCTTTTTCCAAAAGTTTGCATAGAGGAAGTGGAATCTTTGAGAAGTCTTTGATGAACCTCCTATAAAATCCAACATGTCCCAAAAATCATTGAACCCCCTTTATTGAAATTGGATGCGGTAATTTCTCGATTACTTCGAGTTTTGCTTTGTCGACCTCCAACCCCTTTTGTGATACTTTGTGACCAAGCACAATTCCTTCCTTGACCATGAAGTGACACTTATCCCAATTTAAGACTAAATTGGTCTTGACACACCTTTGAAGAACTTTTCCTAAGTGCTCTACGCATTCTGCAAATGAGTCCCCCAGAACTAAGAAATCATCCATAAATACTTCCATTGAGTCTTCCACCATATCAGCAAAGATGGATAGCACGCATTGTTGAAACGTGGCCGGGGCATTACATAATCCAAATGGCATTTTTTTAAAGGCGAAAGTACCATATGGACATGTAAAGGTTGTTTTCTCTTGATCCTCCAGAGCAATGGAGATTTGGTTATAGCCCGAGTACCCATTAAAAAGCAATACCATCCCCTCTCGGATAGTCGGTTAAGCATTTGGTCCATAAATGGCATGGGAAAATGATCCTTTTCAGTCCATGCACTTAGCTTCCGATAGTCCATGCGAACTCTCCATCCTGTCACCGGTCGTAATGATACAAGCTCTACTTTTTCGTTAGTAACAACCGCCACTCCTCTTTTTTTCGGTACAAATTGCACTGGACTGACCCATTTGCTGTCTACAATCGGGTAGATCACTCCTGCGTCCAACCACTTTATTATCTCCTTTTTGACCACTTCTTGCATTGGTGGGTTTAATCTTCTCTAATGTTTAACACTCTGTTTACAATCACTATCAAGCTGAATTTTATGTGTGCAAAGGCTTGGAGGAATCCCCAGTATATCAGCGATCGTCCAACTGATGGCTTTTATATACCTTTTCAGAACTTCAAGGAGCCATTTCACTTGCCAATCAGTTGAGTCAGCCACAATAATCACCGGCAAGGAGTTATTTGCTCCAAAGAAAGAGTACTAGAGGTGCGAAGGTAATACCTTAAGATCGAGACTTGGTGCTTCTTCAGTTGACGATTTGGCGAGAGGGCTTTCTCAATTTTTTAAGTGGATGTTCAATTTAATCTGAGTCTTTGTGAATTCCCCTTTACTTGAAAATGCGGCTACCAGTTCATCTTGGCTCTGAACCTCGAACTCTTCTTTGTTAGCCCACACGACTTCAAGGGGTTCTTTGCTACACATTAGCCACAGCCTCGTGAATCACATCGTCAAGTGAGATTACATGAATGTCACTCGGGTGTTTCATTTATTTGCACACGTCAAAGGTGACTTCGTCATCATTGACCCAAAATTTCAATTCCCCACTCTCGACATCCACCAGTGCTCTCCCAGTTGCCATTAATGGTCTTCCCAAGATTATGGGAATTTTGGCTTCTATGTCACTGTCGAGTAAGACAAAATCGGCTAGAAAAATGAATCTGTCAACCTTAACCAGAATGTTGTAAAGTATCCCCACTGGATGTTTGATCGATCTGTCAGCCATCAGGAGTCTCATAGTTGTAGCCTGCGGTTCACCCAACCCGAGTTCTTTATAAATAACATACGACATTAGATTTATACTTGCTCCCAAATCGCATAAGGTTTTTGCGAACTTGAACAAGCCTATGGTGCACGGTATGTTGAATGACCCAGGATCATCTTTCTTTTTGATTAAATCCTTCGACATTATCGCACTACAACTGTGGGAGACTTCAATTGTCTCAAAATGTAAGCTCCTTTTTTTGTGACTAACTCCTTCATGAATTTGGCGTAACCCGTCATTTCCACAATGCTTCAACTAGAGGGAGATTAATCGATAAGGTCTTTAATACCGATAGAAACTTCTTGAACCTTTCATCCTCATTCTTCTTCCTGAGGCGTTGAGGAAATGGAAGAGGTATCTTGGGTAAAGGTTGCTTGATGTTTAGGCATGGCTTGAATTCTCCACATCAATTTGTGGCTCCCTTATGATGTCTTGTGGGATGGTTATTTCCTCGGCCTCCAAATCTTTGCTTGCAGTTGGTAAGTACACTTCCTCATTTCTCATCATATCACCTTTCACTTCTTTTCCGCTTCGAGTGACAACGGCCAGCCCTCTTTCTTCCCCATCCGTCTCCATCTTTTGTTTCAATTGTACTGTAAGTAAACTCCATTGACCTTCAAGGGTTTTGATTGCATCTGCGTGTGCGTTTACTTTATTTCTCAAGGATGAGAAATCATCTTTCATTCCTTTCAATAAATCGTCCGAGCCTTCAACATTGTCAAGGATGTATGAAAGCAACTCATTCATTCGGGGACTACTTGCACTCCCCCTTGATTTTGGGCTCTCACTTGAGTAAGCGCGATTCTCTTCATATTCCTCCTCTTTTCTCCAATAATCACTCTTCTCAGGAAAATCTTGATGACACTTCCTTTGTTCAACTTCTTTATAATTGTTCCAACCTTGATTTCCACCCCGCTGCCAATAGCGTGGGTAGAAACCCTCCTCACATCTTCTGGAGTTCCAACCTCGATTCTCCCCAGGCTTTGAATAGCTTGGGATGAACCTTCCTCAACTCTGAGCATGCCACATGTTCCCTTCATATGCCCCTGTAGAACTTCCATCTTAGTGAACATCTTCTTGATGTTTTCATCCCTCTCTTTCTATTTGTCTAATTGCTCTTGTGTTAGTCGAAAGTGAAATGGCGAAACGTGATCATCTTTTGTATACCGTGCTTGATTTATTCTAGTCATGTTGTCTAGAAGAAATGAAGCCACCTCAAATGTTTGTAACATTATTCCTCCTCGTACCAACTGATCAGCCACTCCTTTATTAATCGAATCAAGGCTCCGGTAGAAATATTGGAGTAGTAAATCGGTTTGTCGCCCATGAGTTGTACACTTAAGTAAGAGCTTCTTGAATCTCACCCATGCTTCATGGAGTGGTTCTCCTTCCCTTTGCTTGAACCCTTGGATTTCATCTCTAAGCTTCATCATTTTTTATGGAGGAACAAATGTTGTGTTAAATGCTATGACCAGCTTCTCCCATGATGTGATGGAATTTTTTTGTAACTCGGTTAACCACTTGCTTGTGTCTCCTTTCACAGACAATGGGAATAATTGCAGCCGAATTGACTCTTGCGATAGATTCTTGAATGATAAAGGGTTGCACACTTGTACAACGCTCCGTATATGTTCGTGCGAATCTTCATGCTCTAACCCTCCATATAAACCTCTTGAATGTATGAGCTGGAGTGTCGCACTAGTAACTTCAAACATTGCATTTCTGTCGGCTTGTGGCATGCGAATTGCACCCATCTCACCCATGTGGCCAGGGGTTAAAAACACTATTAACATCATCGATTTTGTCTCGATGAAAAACACCATCTACTGGATGGCCTACTTGGCAGCTATTTTCCCCGTCTGCACTTATCCTGTTGTGACACACAAACACTCAAAGCAAAACTGAAAGTCAAGTGAATAGAACTACAACTATCAAGAACAATTTTTTTTACTAAACTAAGAATTCTCAAATAACACCACTCCCCAGTAGCAGCGCCATTTTGATGTTTGCGTAAGCAAGACACAACTTCCGATGCAAGTGTCTATGATCGTACAATAGTTTAGTAACCCAACCAAGGGTTTGGATCTTCCCAAGGGAGTGGTTTTGAGAATTAATAGAAAAATAAAATTTAGTTCTAACTAGTCGTAGCTAAAGACATTAACAATTAAAATCATTGTAAATTAAAGGGGTCACAAGATTGTCAATTAACAATGGGGGTTTTTGTCACAAGTAAGTAAAAACAACAAAATAAACAAGGATTTCTAAGTAATGAGATGGGATCCTTGGGATGTGACGGGAATATGGGTTAAGCTAGATTATTGGGTATATGCTTTTGATAGAGGATTTATAAAATAATTGTGACTAGGCTAAACTTTAAGGGGGATAATCTCTCTCTCGAGCAACTTACCCCGTGTCAAATGTGTTCCTCTTAGACACCCACTTGCCGCATGAAGACCAGCCTACACCTTAATCCACTCACTCTCTCGAGCTGAGTGTGTGGGAATGAGACTAGGATTCACTTTCTCGTGCTGAACCTCATGTCGACCCACTCCCACTGGCCATCAATTTAGTTGTTTTAGTTTTACGACCTCTCTCTCGAGCAAGCCAAAAACACATAAATAAACTTGTATTTGCAACTAAAAATTCATTAAACTCATCCACAACTACCAAACGAAATCACAATTAAACTACGATTAAACTATCAGATAGCAAGACCCAACAATTATCTTAACCCATATTCGCAAAATTACACCCCAAAAATTGGGGTTTTTAGCCACACATGTATAAGAGATAGAAATTTATACTAAATTGAGCTTGTATTCAACTGGGTATGAAGATTTAAGTCTTGATACATACCAAAATTGAAGAATCCAAGAGACCCAAATCCAAATTTTAAAGATGAAATGCTTTGGATCTTCAAGTCTTCAAAACCCTCTCAAACTTAGAGAAAAAATAACAAAGAGTACTATTCTATATGAAAATTACAATAATTATTCGACAGTTAAAACTACAACTCTAACTAGTATTTATAGTTTTTACAGATTTGTGTTGCAGTGGATCACTAGGCGTCATTAGTCGGAATCGCCGATCAACTCTGCGATTCACACATTTTGGTGTAGTTCATCGCCGTCTTGCACCAGCGTTCAACATCGTCGTGCTCTGGGTCATTGGGCGACATGGTACTGCTTCGTGGAACTTCTCGGCGATGCGCCGATTGCTCCCTTTTTCCGCCGAATGGATCTATTCCTTCAGGGCTCAGCACACTGGAACAAAAGGTAAAGTACGACCCTTCGGCAACTCGCAAAGTGGACTCGGCGATCCTCAGGTCTTCATTTCTTCATTCTTTTCTGCCTTTTCATTCCTTTTTGCGACGTAGTGTCCATTGTTTCTTTCAAACTTCAAATACCTGAAACTTAAGGGTTTTCATTAGATATAGAGATAAAATAAGCATTTGAGGTCACAATTTGTATTAAAATATAGCCCTAAATGAGTCCAATTTGTTGAATCATCAAGTTGTACTGGATCTTCTGTGATTAGTCCTACTTGTGCTAGGTTTGGAAAGAAACCTAATGGCCAGTGTCTAGCCGGTATGGAAGGTTTCTATGGTTGTGGTGGTGGTGACCATCTAATAAGAAATTGTCCGGTGCTTAGGGCTAAGGAAAGGGAGAAAAAGAAAATTAGGTCCAATGCCTTCCGAGCTAGAGGTGAACAAGAGTGCCTTCCTAATGTTGCTCCCGATATGTGTTCTATGCTTACTTCTATTCTGGTAATGGTTGTCTTTTGTGACTTGATGAATTGGATATGATAAGCTTTATGTTTTCCTTAGTATGCATGGGTTTGATTATGGTGATGTGTGTATGTTGGTGGAATCCCACCTAGCCATAATAAGCTTGAGGATGTGATGGAAGATTTGATGAATAGTGGTGTTTAAGTGATGCCTAGAGAATGTTGAGGGTGGTATTTTAGTAAGGGTTTTAGTTGAAAGTGCTTATTTGGGAGGCCAAGGGCCAATGAGATGTCCCAATATCCTTATGTTCCCTTCTATTCCTCCTATAGCATGAGATTATAAGTTCTCCTTGACTCATTTCATGATTGTGGAGTCTTGGATGTTATGTGTCCTATGATTTTTTTGTCTCATAGAGTTACTTATGTTAATCTTGGTAGGATTTGGATGCATGGTTATTAGACCTCTATTGGTTTTAGAGCCCGGTAAGGTTATAATGATCCTTGGTAATGCTTGAGTTGTTAGAAAGGAGTAGTATTTCAGGTTTTAGTAAAAATGGGGCTTACTCCCAAGGGGGAGATCATGTGCTTGGATAGAAAGTTTGATCAAGAGTCCCGATATCCTCATCCTTTTCTTCTATTCCTATTCAAGCTTGAGACCAAAAGTTGCTTCTTGGGCTTGTTTTATGCCTAGGAATCATGAGTGTTGTAGAACTCTCCATGATCTCCTTAGGTTATGCATGTTTTTTAGAGATTTTTATTTTGTAAAATGAGTTTCCATGATTTATATGTTCCTCATGTTATTGTGCATTTTAGTATGGAAATGGCACATTCGACTTCATGAGATGATTCGGTGATCATGCTTGGTTATGCTTTTGATGAAATGTCATATTGGCTCCATAATGATGTGATGAGTTGCTTTTGTTGGGGAGGCTAGTTCCTCCTATGATTATGTGATTGGTGATGTTTAGAAGTTTTGGTATAGGCTCACTCCTAAAGGGTGGGATGGTGTGCCCAGCTAACATTGTTGTTATAGGGTGATGTGTTGCCATGACTTCCTTATATGATGCATGTTCATGAAAACCCGTGTTTTAACAAAAATGAGTTCAAGTGAATTGTTTTCCTCATGTTGTAGTTCTTGGAGTAAGGGTTGCCTAGTTTACTTCATGAGAAGAAGACATAAGCATGTTTTAGTTAGGAGTTGAGAAATTCCTCCTTGAGTAAAATGCTTTTGAGAAGTAATTGCTTAAGAGGCCCAGAAGAGTATGTTGAGCATGGTGTGACTAGGAGATGGAAGTTCCTCCTTAAACATGATTAGTCATGACAAATCTCATGCATAAATGAGTTAATAGATATAATTCATACTTGCTTGTGTTGCATTGAGTATTTTGAGATGGAGTGATGTTTCCTCCTTGTTTATG